ATGCCAAAAACAAAAGATTCAGGGTTCACATTTTGGGGGGTCAGATTCCAGCATCTCAGTGCTTTTTTCGACATCTGAACATCGAAAAGTGGTCCGAGCATGTGGTGCTTTGTACATTTTGACTTCGATATGTGCTTCGCGCTGCAGCAGCGTGCAATTTTTGATTTCTCGTCTCCCCAATATGGCTCTGCACCCGCCGCTTTATTGAGACTACTTTTCGACCCTCCAGAGCCACAAAACATTGGAAAAAAACACAGCGTTGTCGACTTTTCGCCCCTTGATCTTCTTTCTGCTGACTCTTTCTCTTCTGACTTCTTCTCTTCTCTGCCTCTTCCCACCTCTGCTGCTTCATCTATCCATATTGTCGGAAGTTTGACTTCTAAACTTTCCTTCGATGGTTTCGTATGTAAATATACACACATATAAATTGTATCTATATAATTATATGGTTTTTTTTTATTTAATCTATATGATCAACAACTGTGGAATGCCATCGGTCTTCCTACAAAAGCGTTGATTGCATACACCAACCATGACCAGCAACTCCTGGGGCAATTGTATTGCGGTTGAAGTTGCATTGATCCTTCCCAAATGTTTTTGGATATGTTTCCGGAAGCAAATTATGAGGTTGACATAGGTTGACCCTGAGTTCACAATTTGACCTCGAATCGAAATTGTCTGCAGAGATTTATTCAACCTCAGTATATATGGTCAAAACCCTGGTACCTAGTGAACCCCAAAATAGCTGGTAAATGGATGTTCATCCCACTACAAATGTATCTATAGGTATTGACCCATACCCATATAGATTATGGGCAAAAAGAGAAAAAACACGACTTGGCACTAAGCAGCGAGCTGGTGTTTGTCTCAAATACGCCTGAAAATCATATTAATACACTTGGCTACTTGCTCCAAATATCCAATTCCAGACTTGCCACAATGTGATTTTTTCCCAGGAAAGACTCCTTTTGAGGATAGCGAAGACATAGTTTCCATGTGTTTCTATTATTTATATATATATTTACATTTAAGCCAACCCTGTTATCTCAATGAACCTGCTAAGCATCATAAGCATCTCCAAAGCCCAACGACTTCTAGAGTTTACCACGGCATGAAACTGTTGCAACCACAGATGGTTTTTTGTATGGTTGTTGTGTTGTTCTTGTTGAACCATTAAGAATTGGAGCTTCATAATCTTTTTTGACCTGTGCCTGGAAAAAGGAATATCAAACTTGGAGAAAATCTTCCACTCAAAATGTGTCCCTTCATGCCAAGGATCTTGGATCTGGGTCTCCTGCTCGTTCAAAGCCTCGAAAGAGGTTGGGCAAAACGGAGGAAAGATCTATATACCAGGATCCAAAAAATTGAACATAGAATGCAAGAATTCTAAGACCAATCGGAAGAACCCCTCTGTCTGAGTTCTATCTCCAAGTTCGAGTGTACAAAGCGACTGGGCCCCTAGTCATCATGAATTGTTTATCCAAAATTCTGCCTTGATCCCTTTATCAATAAGTTCGAAGCATCGCCACATTTCTGATTGCGCCAGCCCAAACGCCTTGCTCAAAGGGGTTCATCCCCGCACCGGCTGCAGCAAAGAGTTGCTCGATGATGCGCGGATCGGTATTGCCTGAATGTTTAGTCGAACTCCTTCAGTTAGAGTTTATCAAAAAAATAAAGAGAAGATCCTCGCGGCAAACATATCGTAACTCAAAAATAGGGTGGCTATCAGTTGGTGAAAACAAATGGTTGGTGAAATGCATTTGACCACTTCATGATCCCGCACGCCCTGCCTAAGCCACCTTGAAAGAGCATCTGCATGGGATCAAAACCTGAGATGTGAAGTAAGCAGCATTGTACTCACAAGACAAGATAGCGTGTTGGCAAATAAAAATGAGTCTTTTGTATTACTATATATTATGATCGACATTGATCAACAATCCCCCAGCATGAAAGTGATGACGGTGGTGGTGGTGATGATGAACTGGAATTCCCCACAATACCCCGCAGTAAGCCTGCATGGGAACCATCAGACAGTTGACAGCTTGATGGGGTTGGTCTGCGAATGGATCGAAATGCCATGAAAAGGCCCAGTGCGGGTCTTGGATTTAAAATGATTTCATCAAGTTAAAATTGGTTGGGGATGATCTGAACCCTACCAACTCAGCATGCAGCATCGTTGTAAATTGGCTATGCCCTCGACCGTTTCAAGCATTAAAATGACTGAGGCCCAAAAATGCAAGCAGCAGCTTGCATCCGGTCCCCCTGTGTGCGTGTGTTTTGCAATCTCCCGCACCACGCTACACATCTCTGGGTGTCCAAACCCTGGCCTGCAAAAAAGCTGTTGAAGCACAGATTGCTGGTGGCGGGAAGGGAAACTGGACATAACTGGTTCTACTGGTTGGCGGACAAGTGGATGAAAGTTCTTCCCATTTAGCGATGCAGTGACTGGCCTTCCACATCCTAAAGGCTGCAGTTGTGCACAGTATGTTCTCCTATGCACATCCAAAGCTAGTGCTTCAATGGGCTTCCCAAATAGATATCATTTGTTCGAAGGAAAACTGTACTGGTATCATTATTGTTCCCCTTCAGATTCCTCAACAGAATAGTCTTCACCACTCCTGTGCCGTAACCATGAAAATCTACGCGAAGCCAACGAACAAGTTCCAAAGGCTCATTTCATCTTATTTCATCTTATTTCATGTTATTTCCACAGGAGACCTATCCTGGATATAGTGGATGTCTTTCAAGATCTTTCAAGTAGACCAACAGAGTTCTGGTGACGAATTCGCTGCTTGAAATCTCCAAAGCCCCTAGCCTTGCATGAAGAAGGGAGGCCTGGGCCAGCACATCCGGGACCAACTGGGGGGGTTCACTCACGTCACATACCTGGACCCGAAAGAAAAAGGACTGGTGTGGGATATTCTGATGATATTCTTCTACCATTCCTCTACCTATTCAGAATGCTTGATTTTAACCCCCGGCCATTTGATGATTTTGATGATCCTCTTCAGGGCATGGACCCAACCGGTGAAACATTGGCAGCTCCAGGTTTCTGGTTTACACTCCAGGGCCTACCAAGAGTCACCCATTTTTTCATGACGTCTCATTTCCGATTTGTGGATCTCTGATCACCCTCCGGAAGAAAAATTGACTAGCCAACCCCCCAGAATTATTGCAAGCCATTCGAAAATGGAATTGGATATGGGGACCAAAAACCTTCGAGCCGATGTGAGCAATTTGCCAATTGTCAACTACCTGCTTTTCTCACTGAGCACCCACACGGGCCCGACATGTCACCTGGAGATTTTGGTGCAGGTGTTTTGGCAGCCGCTAGTTACTGAGATAACCGGTTCCTGTTAGATAGCCAATGATTGTTTCAATGGTAATGTCTAATGTGTTCTAATGGGATATTCTTACCTCTTCATGGCTATGCAAAATCCACCCACCAGCCAACCAAAAAAAAGTTGATCCAGATTTGTAAGTTGGGCGAGTCAGGATCACCATGGCAACGTTCAGCACACAAGATTTGCAGACCGATTAGCCAACTAAGAATACTGGCGGATATGATGGCTATTACCACTGGGAGTATATCAAGTTATGTAATACACAGTACTGACCAGAACAACAGCCAAGCTGCCTCAGCCTGGAAGAAGGGCCCAAAAGATTTGGCCACAGGATGTGATGATTGGCACTATCAAGAATCAACACTATGATGACTGGTTGCCTTCTCAGCAAAGTTCTCCCTTTTGTTTGTTGCATTATCCCTACCAGATCCTACCAGTCGTTATATCACGTCATGCCCCGAATCAGACCACCCGAGTCGAACGTGCGGAACGTGGCCTCCAAAACTTCCAAAGCATCAGCGCCGAAAGAATCGTGAGATGTTCACATAAGACTCCAGCCAAGAGGAGCGTTAAGCCGTTAAGCATTCAACCATGCTAGAAGGCTGTGAGGACACAACATCGAGAGATTAATATGATAGAAGCGAGTTCACAACCTTGAACTAAAGGAAATCAAATTTGGATTAGATCCCAAACTTTTATTCCCCATATTTCCCGATGTTGTTTGCACCTACAGCACAGGTCGAAAGAAAACCATACCATTGTGCAACTTGCTGTCTTACACCCGATGAACTGATTGGGAAGCGATAGGCTCATGACTCCTATTCCCGGCTTCACCCAAGACGTCGGTAGATGCAAATGGCCAAACACCTGTTGCGAAGTAGAAACCTTTGAAACCAGCATCCCAAAAAAATTGTCAAGTTCTGATTTTGACAATCTAAACTTCTGGTCTCCCTTTATAAATTTACATGATTTTGGCTTATGTTGGAGGACGTGTTGTGCCCCTTATCGTTGCTACAAGCACCAGGCACACTGCTGCATCACCACGGCCGCTCGAGCAAATCGTCTCCACATGTCCTTTTTATTGACCGAATTCGAGCATTTTACAATTGGCAACAATGGACAGAGGTCTGTGCCAGCCCGACTTGAAGTGGTCCATGAGGATCGTCTTTGGTGTTTTCTCTCCCAGTTTTGGTGCTGCAAATTGTATTGCATCCACCAACTCATTCGAAGCCAGGACGTCGACGACTCGGAGATGCTCGGCTTTGCAGGACCATGGAGGTGGACAAATATTGTTCGTCCGGTCCATTTATTCATCGTTTTCGATAAACCAACACAACCTATTAAAAAAAAAAAATGCATAAACAGTAAACAGATGTTTTGAGCCCCAAATAGGATACTTAAGATGATACAAGATGCAAAAGTTGAAATGGAAACTCCGATGTCCTGCAATTCCTCGAGCTTCCACGACTCAATCAGCGCAAGCAACAAACAAACTCGAACACAAACGGATAGGGACAAAACCATGCATGCAGCCGTCTAAAAAAATGCATTCCGCGAATATGGTGTATTTGTTCCAGGCGTTGGTGTGTCCATCCAAGTACTGTTGATAGCGGATTACCATCCCACCTTTTGCAATGATTCTTTAGCCCAGGGGTTGGAAACCTTGAGTAAACATATCAGCACATCCCAGAATTACCTTCCTAAAACGCGCCAGAGCGGTCTACTCTCGTCAAGCAAAACCCTTTTCTTGAGAAACACAGAGGCAGCACATAGGCTTTCATGGCAGCACTGGCAGCATGGTTTCGTCCATTTGGTGGACTGAGACCGTCAAAATCCTGCGCCACTGTGAAGAAGCTACGCAGTGCACTGCTCCTATTTTCTTCTTTCCCCGGGTGCCAGATAGTATCAGATAGTGATAGTGAGACAAGCTGTGGAAAGGCTCGGTTTCATGTGAGGTGGCTACGCGGCTACGCGGCCACAACGGGATGGTTGACCGTAGGTTTATCCAAAATAGGGAGGGCTCCAATGGTCCAAATCCATTGATTTCCCCTTGGAAATGGTGGATGACTGTGACCACCAATGATGGTGTATGGAAATGTCGACTGAATCTCCCCAAATGCAGACCCCGATTTTTGTTCTGTCGCAACCAAGGAGCAAACCTTGCTGGGGATGATATGTCTGGCATCCAGATTCAAAGACGATCATTGCCAGCCTCAGTAAAGTCGTGGTGACAAGTTGTTGCACACCAACGAGGCGTCAAGCACCAGCTTGGGTTGTCTGCAAGAGTTTCGGCCACGACCCACAAATATACTTGGAAAGCTTATTGGATAAAGATGGAGTTGTAGCCCTGCTCAGTAACTCCGCAAGAGTGGCTAGTAAGTTTTAAGTAGAGAGGCGCCCACGAAAGTAGACTCTACATAATGTCTCTGCACACGTTGCGTTCCCTCGACAGGATTGAGGAAAAGACAAACACTGGGTCTAATTCAAACAATCATACAAAGACGAGGATATAAGCAGACGTACTGTACCCAGAAGCAGGGGCAGAATTGAGATGTTGAAATTCCATGCATTCTATTTCTGCATGGGGGTCAACCAACAAAATTTGCCCATTTGCCAACCACCGAGGCACCTCAACGACGGAAGTTGGCTGCGAAGCGACTACTCAAAGCGCCCGTGTCTCCTTGGGGATGGGATCCACAACATCCGATCGAGAGAATTGTCGGATTTGACGATGTCTTAATAGTCTTAATTAGTTGAATTCATTGAGGTAATGTGAGGTAATTCATGTTCTTCCTAATTAGTTGAATTCTTCATTGAGGTAATGTGACTTTAATATGAAGGATTTGTTTTTCTTCCATCATCTTACTCTCTGTAGATTTTCCCGTAAACCGTAAAACAATCTAGGGGATAAGACTTCATCAGAAATCCATGAGACACATAGGAAGTTGGATAGTCTACTTCCTTCACTGGCTGTAAGTGAGCAATCTCGGAAAGGTATCGCTTAAAGATCTTAAAGGATAGTGTTCATGATTCTATTTGACTCCGCCAAAGCAGAGCCAAATAGCTTTGCTTTCCCTTTTGTCAGACCGTCTTCGCTTTTCGGACCCATTTTTCGTGACGGTCCCATCGCTGGGCGCCTCCAGTGGACCGCTTCCGCAGTCCCTGCATGGCAGGATGGGGCTTGGGCACCTGGAGCGCACAGGGCAACTACCCAAGGGCGCGTGGGCGTTCATGGCTGGGCTGTCAAAACTGGAGGAGAACTGCCGAGACCAAGGTATATCTCGCAAGAATAAGGTTGGTACCCCGCGAAGACAGTACGAAACAAAGAAATGATTTTGGTGGTAAATGTTGCTGAGGCGGATGGATGTCTTTGGGGTGAAGTTATTGAAGTTATAGTGAACACATCTAAAACCAAAAATGCTGGATACCACTTTGAGACCACGAACTTTGAAGGAATTAGTGGATGTCCCTGAATTTTGAAGCCTCCAACCACATCTTCCAGGTTCAAATTCAGCTTCCCGGCCTTGTCAAGCTGCGCCACGACCGTGATCTTCTTCATCATGCGCTTGTCCTGACGCACAAATGTGATCAAATCCTTCTCCAAGTGGCTCGCCCAAAACTGTGGGACCCACAGCAGCATGACGAGAAAATGTGTCTCCCGCCCAAGACCGACAAAGGCCAAGGATTGGTTGATCACCCAACTTTGTCCTATACCTTTCCAACTGTGCTGCATCATGTTGTTTCATGACTTTGTTGTTTCTACCCTGCAATGTCTGGTTGGTCCGATTCCAATCTCTTCGAATGGGCTGCAGCTGGCTATACCTTGCAACTGCGGTCGTCATCGCCTCTGGCATGAGCTGATCTGACGCACGCGGCGAAGACTCTCGGCCTTGGGGTGGCTGATCCGGAAGGTGTCTAGTTGATAGTGCCGGTGTAAGTGGCCATGGATCAACATTTCTAGGAGACTTGGGGATGGTTTTGTCATGATTTGTTCCATGGTCTTTTCACACGCTTCTGAGTCTGTGTTCTGTAAATTTCTGTAAATTTGACTCAGTAAAATGAGAGAGTAGACCCCAAAAGCTTACGTACAGAAATGACAGGCCCGAGCCGTCCCACACGAGAATACGATCACAATTCAAAAGAAATAAAAGCTCTGTGCTTCCAATTGTGTTGCTTCACCAACCAGTCGCAAAGTCCTGAGTCATACCTGGAAAAGAAACGTCACTTGAGCAGCTCCATCTTTCGGGGTACCACATTGCCACATCTTTCTTCCTCATCCACTGTGAGGGCCAACAACGGCTGAGGGCCTTGCTGCCCTTTCCTTTGTAATAGTTGTCGTAGCCCTGGTCTAAGAGCTGATCGTGGCGGGTCGCTCGATATCCAAGGGCTGTTCTGCATCACGTGGATCATGGTCTATTCAATAATTCAATCTATTCACACAAACACAATCAATAGATGACAAGCAGATTTGTTGGTTCGTAAGAGTATGCGTATATCATATATCAATGTTTACGTATACTGCGTATACGTATACACATATCATTTCATACAGACCAGAGTACAACTATCTGATAATCTATTTCCCCATCTGTAGCTATTACATCCCGTTCGTTGCCAGATTCCGATAGCTGTTGCTTCACCAAGCTGTTGGACCTGTGCCCTGTGCCCTGGAAAGTAATTCCCTGCTACTTTGACGGTGATTCATTTCTCTTCATTTTATGGTCATCTACTTTTCTATCGTTTTGGGCACTACTCTGGCAGGAAAACTGAAAAACTAAGAAAGGTTGCTTCCTGACACCTGAACAGCACTCAGGAACCTGTTCCACTAACTTGATTCCCTAGGCCCTAGGCTTAAAGACGTCTCCCCAACTAGCATGCAAGAGCAACGTGAAATTGGTATGGGTCACAAAAATTCTGGCCGTTAAAATTGGATTCTTGAAGAGAAAACTGAACTAAATCCGTGGTTTCCGGCTGATAAGTGCTTACAAATATAAATCTACCTACCGTCACATATTCACCTGGCACTCTGTTCGCATCACCCCATCCTCCATGGTGTGCGCCAATGTCCCCCGCCTGGCCCCAACCGCCACCGCCACCATAGCCGCCCCCATAGCCGCTACCGCCGTAGCTGCCACCGTAGCTGCTACCATTTCTGCCACTGCCATAGCCACTGTCGTAGCTCTTGCCCTGCATGTTGCTGGACATGCAGTCAAGAAGAAGGAAAGAACAAACCAACCTTGGCACTGCCTGGAACTGCCTTCAAGCGACTACGAAACCACCAACACTTCGCAGCAGAATCCTAAATTCATCCCCAAGAAATAGAACGGTTTCCACCAGCAACTTTCACCATGTAGTATAATCTTCGCGGCCCACGCCCCGCCTTGGACTTGCCTTTGCTGTAGCTGCCTTGCCCTTTGCCTCAGAATGCACTGGAACATCATGGAACATCATAACCTCAAAATGACCCCGTTTTGGGAAAAATCTTACCAGTTCATGCTGCATCCCCATGTGCCACAAGGAAACGATCGCATTTTGCCTGTCGATGTTTTGATATGTTTTGATATGGCCTGCTCTCAAGCAACGTTCTTGTTCTATCATGTTCTATCTATCTTGTTCCCACTTCATTGATAATTGATCTGGCATTGGTGTACTATGTGGTATGTGTGCATCTGTATCACCGCAGTCCAAACTTCAAGCAAGAGGTACTGCGCACCGGAATCTCTTTGGGAGATCTCAACCAGTGATGCGCATCCACCCAGCTGCCCCACAAGTTCTAAGACCAGCGACTGGAGTAGGTGGAGACAGCCAGTGACTTGCCTGAAGGCCGAGTTCCATGATGACCCAGAACTGCGGTTTCCGTAAACATATGTGTCATCATATACGTATATATATATATATACACGTATATATAATGTATATATAATGTATATAATAATATATAATATGTATATACTGTATATACATACGACATACATATATCAAAAAGGTTTTCATTTCATTTCCAAGTCCGCTGAGACTATGTGGATTCTTCACAGGGAAACACAAAGCGAGGGCAGGCGTGAAGGATATATGTCACGAATCTGGGAGCCGCAAAAGTTTGGAAATATGTCCAACAAGTCAGAAAATCTCAGCTCCCTTACAATCTGCCATTTATTTGGAGGACTTGATAGCGACACGTCAATGCAGAGCACATTTGCCGTCAAACCCCGGAAATCTGTGTTTCCGGACCGCCACCCTGCGAAAGCACGAGGGACACAAATGGACCATGGACAGTTGGTCGGTCAGCTCGTTTCCAGAGTATGCCGGAGCTGCCATGAACCAACAACAGCCAGTTGAAAGTGTTATTGCATGTGATTGCACTCAAGAATTTGGTGCCTAGGGCACCCCAAAGTGAAACTGCTTGGTGAGTCGGGCCTTCTTGCCCTTACTCAGACCTTTGGTGCCTCAGGACGGAAGAAAACTATGAGTCTTTCATAGTCTTTCCAGAAGGGCGATGAGGGGCAACGGGCACCAACCGTTGAGGAAACCCCAGGAAATCCTGCTTCAAGGTGCAATTCAACTGGAAGAAACATGGACGACTTCAGCAGTCCCAGTTTTTTGATGTTTTTTGGAAGCATCCAGGTGGAAATGCCAGAAGCGAACACAGAGACAGACGACTCGCTCGAGCTAATCTGGCACAGTTTTGGCATTTCATATTTCCTCAACATTCAACTTCTGATTCTTCAAATACTGCGACAGAACAAAGGGATGCAAAAACCATCCCAATGTTTGGCCGAGTTTGGCCCCACAATGCTATCAGACCACACACATCATTTCTATGGGCACTTCATCCAGACCTGGTCCTCTTTCCCAGGTCGGCCACTCGACCAGGGCAAGCTGTGCACCTGAGTCCCCAGCTCTTCTTGACGAATGTCTGATTGCCTTGGACCACACTTGAACAGTCTGAGCTGGGAAATGGTGGGTCCAACTTGGGCATAAAAGTTGGATGATTAACCAACATGACCAACATGACCAAACCTGTACCCACGGCCTGAAAGTGTCAATGCCCAAATCCTCTGAATGTCAGGCGAAACTTTGTAAGCAAAATCGGCGTGAAATGTTGCGACGGACTCAATTTTTGCTCAAATCCTTTGTGTGTTATACCGAGTTATACCATGTTATACCCATCCAACTTCAGGTTCAGGAAGTTCCACCAGTGCTTCTGTTTAATACGAACCATCGAACCATCCCAGTTTTGGGTGCCCTCAATTTTGAGCACCCCTTTCCATGGCTAAATGCCCGGAAATATGCATCCACCGTTTGTTGCCAGGCCACGATTTACACGTAGCAGGTTCGAGGACCTGAGACAGCAAAACAACGAAGCACCAGGTGCTGCATGGGAGCTAAGCTGAGCTAGACAGTGTACCTGCAAATATGTACCTGTAACCTTATGTAACCCTCTTGTTTTTTGCTGAAAGAAAACTTTATGAGTGAGCTCGAACCCGGGCACACATGGATTTTAGCAACTGCTACAGAATATCAAAGGTTCAGGAATGGAGGGTATGTAAGCAATTCAGGTGCAAGTAGAGCTGTTCCAGTTCCAAGAGAAAGTCAGGGATGCTATTCACTAGCCTTTTGACTTTTGACCTCTATGTCAGTCACTATGTTGACCTGAACCACAGGTTGTGACTCGATGAGGATCATCCCATGCATGGTTTGCCAACGGCTGCGTGCACCCCCATCAGCCATAAAATGTTAAGAAATGAATACAGTTAAATCATACGGATTCATATGGTTGAAAAACATGACTTGCTCTTAATCTTGCAAGCAAAGGTCCAAACCATGCAGGTCATCTAAAGCCAATTTCCCATGGCACTGGGAAGCCACACTTTCCGAGGCTCTTGCCCTTGCCTTTGCTCTTGCCTTTTGGCCCCCTGCCAGTGAGTGCCAAGGCTGCTAGAACAAGCCCAACAGCACAGGAGCGACTTGAAGTATCAACCTACGACATAGTGAGACCGGATAACCCCACAAATCACCTTCTTCCAATAATGAGCACCAAATGTTGTAGCGGGGACGGGGAAGGAAGGAAAGACAAAGGAGGTGGTGGAGGATCGAGAAGTAAAACAAGTTGTATGTGAAGAGTTGTGCCTGACAAATTGGTATATGAAAGATGGTGTGCGACAAAGAAAATGGTGTGTGTGCCAAAGTTTTGTGTGAAAGATCGTGTGTGTGAAAGTTGTGTGTGAAAGATGGTGTGTGACAAAGTGGTGTGTGAAAGATGCACAGCTGCAAAAGAACAATGTGCAGGGTCCCAAGATGCCGTGCAGAGACATCAAAGCATGTCACTTACAGCTGTGACTGCACAAAACCAAAAGTTCGTTGCTGGATAAGAAAATGTCACTTTGTGCCACGCCTGCCACGCAAAGTGCCGCGGCGCCCCGGGCGACCAACGGCGACCAAGCGCGCCCCCAAGTGCAACTTCTGCCACGCCTCCCACGCAAAACGAAGGTAGATGTCGCCAAGTGCAACACCTGCCACGTGAAACCAAGGTGGATGTCACCTTGTGCCACACCTGCCACGCAAAGTGCCGCGGGGCCCCGGGCGACCAAGCGCGCCCCCAAGTGCAACTTCTGCCACGCCTCCCACGCAAAACGAAGGTAGATGTCGCCAAGTGCAACACCTGCCACGTGAAACCAAGGTGGATGTCACCTTGTGCCACACCTGCCACGCAAAGTGCCGCGGGGCCCCGGGCGACCAAGCGCGCCACCAAGTGCAACTTGTACCACGCCTGCCACGCAAAACGAAGGTAGATGTCGCCAAGTGCCACACCTGCCACGTGAAACGAAGGTGGATGTCACCAAGTGCCACGCCTGCCACGCAAAGCGCCGCGACGCCCCGGGCGACCGCGACGCCCCGGCCAAGCGCGCCACCAAGCGCAACTTGCACCACGCCTGCCACGCAAAACGAAGGTAGATGTCGCCAAGTGCCACGCCTGCAACGTGAAATGAAAGTGGATGTCTCCTTGCGCTACGCCTGCCACGCAAAGTGCCGCGGCGCCCCGGGCGACCAACGGCGACCAAGCGCGCCACCAAGTGCAACTTGTACCACACCTGCCACGCAAAACGAAAGTAGATGTCGCCAAGTGCCACGCCTGCCACGTGTAACCAAGGTGGATGTCACCTTGTGCCACGCCTGCCACGCAAAGTGCCGCGGCGCCCCGGGCGACCAACGGCGACCAAGCGCGCCACCAAGTGCAACTTGTACCACGCCTGCCACGCAAAACGAAGGTAGATGTCGCCAAGTGCCACGCCTGCCACTGGATGTCACCTTGTGCCACGCCTGCCACGCAAAGTGCCACGGCGCCCGGGGCGACCAACGGCGACCAAGCGCGCCACCAAGTGCAACTTCTGCCACGCCTGCCACGCCTGCCACGCCAAACGCAGGTAATGTCGCCAAGTGCCACGCCTGCCACGTGAAACGAAGGTGGATGTCACCAAGTGCCACGCCTGTCGCCAAGTGCCACGCCTGCCACGTGAAACCAAGGTTGATGTCACCAAGTGCCACACCTGCCACGCAAAGTGCCCGGGCGACCAACGGCGACCAAGCGCGCCACCAAGTGGAACTTGTCCCACCCCTGCCACGCAAAACAAAAGTAGATGTCGCCAAGTGCCTCGCCTGCCACGTGAAACGAAGGTGGGTGTCACCAAGCGCCCCACCTGCCACGCAAAGTGCCGCGGCGCCCGGGCGACCAACGGCGACCAAGCGCGCCACCAAGTGCAACTTCTACCACGCCTTCCACGCAAAACCAAGGTCGATGTCGCCAAGTGCCACGAATTTGCCATAAGTGCCACGCCTGCCACGCAAACTTGTGTGTGTGAAAGATGGTGGGTGACAAAGTTGTGTGTGACAAAGTTGTGTGTGTGTGTGACAAAGTTGTGTGTGAAAGATTGTGGTTGACAAAGTTGTGTGTGTGACAAAGTTGTGTGTGAAAGATGGTGTGTGACAAAGTTGTGTGTGACAAAGTTGTGTGTGAAAGATGGTGTGTGACAAAGTTGTGTGTGTGACAAAGTTGCGTGTGAAAGATTGTGTGTGAAAGATGGTGGTTGACAAAGTTGTGTGTGAAAGATGGTGGTTGACAAAGTTGTGTGTGAAAGATGGTGGTTGACAAAGTTGTGTGTGTGACAAAGTTGTGTGTGAAAGATGGTGGTTGACAAAGATGTGTGTGAGAGATGGTGTGTGAAAGATGGTGTGTGAAAGATGGTGGTTGACAAAGTTGTGTGTGAAAGATGGTGGTTGACAAAGTTGTGTGTGTGTGACAAAGTTGTGTGTGTGTGTGACAAAGTTGTGTGTGAAAGATGGTGGTTGACAAAGATGTGTGTGAGAGATGGTGTGTGAAAGATGGTGTGTGAAAGATGGTGGTTGACAAAGAGGAGGAGCGGGCGGAGGAGCGGGCGGAGGAGCGGGAGGCGGCGGAGCGGGAGGGATACAGAATCAAAAACAAGAACCCCACACAAAGATGTGGGGAAAAAGAGAAAGAGAAGATAGAATAGAACAGAACAGTGTGCATGGCACCCGCAAAGTTCAATACACCAAAAAACGGTGGTCAAGTTCACAAAACAACACCAGAAGCGCAGGTCCCTTCGTACCCAAGCACCCCACAAGCCACACAAAGGGTTTTTGCAGAAGAAAGAAATATCTGATTTCAGGATGGTTCAGGTATTATCTTACGAGCCAAAGCACCTTTTTCTTGATGGATTCACAAGAAAATTGGGTCGCCCGTTTTGTAGACCTCGTGACCTCTGCGTTGGTTGGTCGAGTCGTTGCTCCGCGCCACCTGGCAGACCAAGTCTGGTGTTTCAGGTTGTGACAGTCCTGACATTGGGAAATTTGGATAACCAATGTCAGTAATGTATATTAAATACTGTGTAATGTATAATAACTCATTTATTTGGTATAAATATGTGTAAATAATGTATAAATCCCAAGTGAAGCAGCCCCAACTAAAACAACGTGGTTCACAAATACTTGGTGGTGGCTATCGCGCCGACGATGGAAGCAAACAGTCGTCAGCAAAGAAGTGGCCAGCTGGACAGTCTCATGCCAAAGCGCCTGGGAATTGGCCCGGATTGGCGTGCTGATGCGCGCTGATTCCAAGCCGGGCATCAATCGTTTCAGAATGGCCAGTTCCAGCCGGGCTGAATATGTTCCACTCTGTTTGGAGTTCCAAAACCAAGCCAGTTCCAACCAGTCTTCATTTCCAAACAATTACCAGTTCTAGTGCCCTTCTGTGGGTTTGTTCATACTTTCTTTGACGCGTTGCATTCACATTCAAGGGGTGGTGGAAACTGTCAAGGCTCTAACTGTGTGGACTTGCCACTGGACTTGCCGGACTTGCCGCTGGACTTGCCGGTGGACTTGCCGCTGGACTTGCCCTTGCCACTCGACTTGCCCTGGAGGCATCGGTGAAGCGGAAGGATGGAAACAACTGAATAAAGGAATGGGATCAAGCTCTACTCGTTGCAGGTTGAGGACAGAAAGGCGTACAAAGGAGGGTCCAATCAATTTGAAACATGCTAAATCTCAGATCATCCCCAAAGTAATATATCCGCCGACCCCAGCAAACTGCAGGGGGAGCGCGCCCGAGAAGAAATGTTGTTGCTAGGTCCTTGGCTGCCACGGTGTTTTGGTGCTGCGAGCAGGTAGCCGCAGGGCTGGCTAATTCCAAGGTTTGGAGCTCGTTTCTATGGATTTCCTGTGGTGCGTAATTCTTGTTGGATGTTCTGACATGTCTGGGTGACCGGAGGAAAACATATGCAGATGTCTCAAAAGAGGAGTGCTCACATGAGTGCTGAAACTTATTTTTTGGCGCTGTAGAGCGACAGTTAGAGGCATTCCACTGGCCTTTGCGTAGATTTTTTGTACTGCCTGCAGAAAGCGACGTTAGGCAGTACCTTGGCTTCAAACGCTCCGCAGCGCCCTTGCCAGCGTTTTTGCCCATCTGTCGGGCCTTTGCCTAGAGCTTTTCTAATGCCTTCAGAAAGCGGCGCACGACGGTGGCCATCTGCCGGGCCTTTGCCTAGAGCTTTTCTCATGCCTTCAGAAAACGACGTTAGGCAGTACCCTGGCTTCAAACGCTCCGCAGCGCCCTTGCCGGCGCTTTTGGCCATCTGTCGGGCCTTTGCCTAGAGCTTTTCTAGTGCCTTCAGAAAGCGACGTTAGGCAGTACCCTGGCTTCAAACGCTCCGCAGCGCCCTTGCCGGCGCTTTTGGCCATCTGTCGGGCCTTTGCCTAGAGCTTTTCTAGTGCCTTCAGAAAGCGACGTTAGGCACTACCCTGGCCTCAAACGCTCCGCAGCGCCCTTGCCGGCGCTTTTGCCCATCTGTCGGGCCTTTGCCTAGAGCTTTTCTAGTGCCTTCAGAAAGCGACGTTAGGCACTACCCTGGCTTCAAACGCTCCGCAGCGCCTTTGCCGGCGCTTTTGGCCATCTGTCGGGTTCTCGCATAGAGTTTTTCTAGTGCCTTCAGACAGCGACGTTAGGCAGTACCTTGGCTTAAACCTTTTTCCCGGCGCCTTGGCGGCCCAGCAGCATGTCCTTTGGGCACCTGCCGGGCGCTTTCCTGGAGATTTTCTTCCGGTTTCAGAAAGCAACGTTAGGCACTAGGCTGCCCTTAAACGTCTTAAACCCCCCCCGGCGCCCTGAGCTGCCTCTAAACCCTTCATGGCGCCCTTGGCGGCCTAGCAGCATGTCCTTTGGCCACCTGCCGGGCGCTTTCCTGGAGATTTTCTTCTGGTTTCAGAAAGCAACGTTAGGCACTAGGCTGCCCTTAAACGTCTTAAACGTGTCCCGACGCCCTAGGCTGCCCTTAAACCTTTTTCCCGGCGCCCTTGGCGGCCCAGCAGCATGTCCTTTGGCCACCTGCCGGGCGCTTTCCTGGAGATTTTCTTCTGGTTTCAGAAAGCAACGTTAGGCACTAGGCTGCCCTTAAACCCTTAAACGTGTCCCGACGCCCTGAGGCTGCCCTTAAACCTTTTTGGCGCCCTTGGCGGCCCAGCAGCATGTCCTTTGGCCACCTGCCGGGCGCTTTCCTGGAGATTTTCTTCTGGTTTCAGAAAGCAACGTTAGGCACTAGGCTGCCCTTAAACGTCTTAAACGTGTCCGGCGCCCTAGCTGCCCTTAAACCTTTTTCCCGGCACCCTTGGCGGCCTAGCAGCATGTCCTTTGGCCACCTGCCGGGCGCTTTCCTCGATATTTTCTTCTGGTTTCAGAAAGCAACGTTAGGCAGTAGGCTGCCCTTAAACCCCCCCCGGCGCCCTGAGCTGCCTCTAAACCCTTCATGGCGCCCTTGGCGGCCTAGCAGCATGTCCTTTGGCCACCTGCCGGGCGCTTTCCTGGAGATTTTCTTCTGGTTTCAGAAAGCAACGTTAGGCACTAGGCTGCCCTTAAACGTCTTAAACGTCTTAAACGTCTTAAACGTGTCCCGGCGCCCTAGGCTGCCCTTAAACCTTTTTCCCGGCGCCCTTGGCGGCCCAGCAGCCTGTCCTTTGGCCACCTGCCGGGCGCTTTCCTGGAGATTTTCTTCTGGTTTCAGAAAGCAACGTTAGGCACTAGGCTGCCCTTAAACGTCTTAAACGTGTCCCGACGCCCTAGGCTGCCCTTAAACCTTTTTCCCGGCGCCCTTGGCGGCCCAGCAGCATGTCCTTTGGCCACCTGCCGGGCGCTTTCCTGGAGATTCTCTTCTGGTTTCAGAAAGCAACGTTAGGCACTAGGCTGCCCTTAAACGTCTTAAACGTGTCCCGGCGCCCTAGGCTGCCCTTAAACCATTTTCCCGGCGCCCTTGGCGGCCCAGCAGCATGTCCTTTGGCCACCTGCCTTTTTCCCGGCGCCCTTGGCGGCCCAGCAGCATGTCCTTTGGCCACCTGCCGGGCGCTTTCCTGGAGATTTTCTTCTGGTTTCAGAAAGCAACGTTAGGCACTAGGCTGCCCTTAAACGTCTTAAACGTGTCCCGACGCCCTAGGCTGCCCTTAAACCTTTTTCCCGGCGCCCTTGGCGGCCCAGCAGCATGTCCTTTGGCCACCTGCCGGGCGCTTTCCTGGCGATTTTCTTCTGGTTTCAGAAAGCAACGTTAGGCACTAGGCTGCCCTTAAACGTCTTAAACGTGTCCCGACGCCCTAGGCTGCCCTTAAACCTTTTTCCCGGCGCCCTTGGCGGCCCAGCAGCATGTCCTTTGGTGTAGCAGGAGCAGCAGCAGCAGCAGGAGGAAAAAGGAGCTAAAATCATTCTTTTCTATGGGTTTCAGAAGTTGCGTTAGATATTTTCGGGGTACAATTTTGAAGCTTCTCCCTCCTTTACTACCATGGTGTTTTCCTATCTGGGAGGTGCTTCTTGACGGAAGGTGTCGCAGGAACAGCAGCAGCAGCAAGAGGAAAAAAGCGCTAAGACCATTCTTTTTTATGGGTTTCAGACGTTACGTTGGGCATTTTCGGGGTGCAAGTTTGATGCTTCTCTGTCCTTTACTGCCATGGTGTTTCCCCAGAACGTGTAGCAGGAGCAGGAGCAGCAGGAGGAACAGAAAGTGTAGCAGGAGCAGCAGCAGCAGCAGCAGCAGCAGAAACAAGGAGTTCAAATCATTCTTTTCTTTGGGTTTCAGAAGTTATGTTAAGCATCTTCAGGGTACCATTTTTGGGCTTCTCCGTCCTTCACTGCCATTGTGTTTTCCCATCCGCGAGGTGCCTTTTCAACAAAACGTATACCAGCAAAAGGAATGAAACTAAAATCATTCTTTTCAATGGGTTTCAGACGTTACGTTCGGCATTTTCGGGGTGCAAGTTTGATGCTTCTCTGTCCTTTACTGCCATCCGCGAGGTGCTTTTTGCACAGAAGGTGTAGCAGGAGAAGCAGCAGCAGCAGCGGCAGGAAAAACAAAAAGAGCTCAAATCATTCTTGTCTATGGCTTTCAGAAGTTACGTTCAGCATTTTCAGGGTGCAAGTTTGATGCTTCTCTGTCCTTTACTGCCATGGTGTTTTCCCAGAACGTGTCGCAGGAGCAGAAGCAACGGGAAGAAAAACGAGCCACAATCATTCCTTTCTATGACTTTAATATATATACATTCGTCACTCCAAGAACAAGACCCTAATCCATATATTTATGTATACATAACTCCAAGGACCCTGTTATACGTCTTCACCTCCGCGGACAAAGTCCTGGTATATATATATATATATAACTCCAAGGACAAAGTCCCGGACTACAGACAAAAAAAAGGCCCTGTTCCGGACACGGCCTGTCCGGCAGACTAGTTACTGTTTCGATGTATCTATATATATGTATATATATACAGATACATATGTCGTTACGTACGTAGTATATTTTTTCTTTCACTACTATTCAATACTCATATATTTCTATACACATACATATTACATTACATTACAATACACACAGTACAATTATCCATGTATATATACATATTTACCTCCGGGGACAAAGTCCTGGTATATATATAGATATACATATGCATATTTACACTCCGAGGACAAAGTCCTGGTATATAGATAGATAGATATATATATATAACTCCAAGGACAAAGTCCTGGACTACAAAGAAAAAACGTCCCTGGTCACGACACTGCCTGTCCGGCAGGCTAGTTACTGTTTCGATGTATCTATATATATATATATATCTACATGACTCTCCTCTACATCACTCTCCTCTACATGACTCTTCTCTACATGGACTCTCCTCTATAAGACCCACCTGTACATGACTCTCCTCTACATGACTCTCCTCCACCTGACTGATTTCTACATGCCTCTCCTCTACATGACTCTCCTCTACATCCTCCACATAATTCTCCCCTAAGTCACTCTCCTCCACACGGCTCTCCTCTATATCACTCTCCTCTACACGACTCTCCTCTAAATGATTCTCCTCTACATGCTCTTATCTACACGACCCTTCTCTACATGACTCTCCTCTGCATGCCTCTCCCCTACGTGACTCTTCTCTACATGACTCTCCTCTACCTACGTCTTCTCTACCTGACCCTTCTCTACATGACTCTCCTCTACATGACTCTCCTCTCCATGACTCTCCTCTACATGACTCTCCTCTACATGACTCTCCTCTGCATGACTCTCCTCTACATGCCTCTCCTCTGCATGACTCTCCCCTACATAACTCTCCTCTACCTGACTCTCCTCTCACTTCTCTAGATGATTCTCCTCTCCCTGATTCTCCTCTCCATGCCTCTTCTGTACGTGACCCTTCTCTACATGACTCTCTTCTACATGGCTCTCCTCTTCTCTCTACACATATATTTCACTCCAAGACCACAGTCCTATAATATAGACATATATATACATACGTCACTCCAAGAACAAGACCCTAGTCCATATATTTATGTATACATAACTCCAAGGACAGGGTCCTGGACAATATATATATATATACATATGTATATATACGTATTTACCTCCGAGGACAAAGTCCTGGTATATATATATATATCACTCCAAGGACAAAGTCCTGGTATATAGATTTCTATATATATATTAATAACTCCAAGGACAAAGTCCTGGTATATAGATTTCTAGATATATATAAATAACTCCAAGGACAAAGTCCTGGACTACGGAAAAAAAAACATCCCTGTTCGGGACACTGCCTGTCCGGCAGGCTAGTTACTGTTTCGATGTATATATATATATATAGATAGATATCGATACATATGTAGTTAAGTACGTAGTCTATTTTTTCTTTCAATACTCATGTATTTATATATATATATATACATGCATATTACATTACATTACAATACAATCAGTACATTTATCTATGTATATATACATATTTACCTCCGAGGACAAAGTCCTGGTATATATATATGCATATATACACTCCAAGGACAAAGTCCTGGTATATAGATATATATATATATAACTCCAAGGACAAAGTCCTGGACTACAAAAAAAACCACGTCCCTGTTCGGGACACTGCCTGTCCGGCAGGCTAGTTACTGTTTCGATGTATCTATATATATATATACATAGAGATACATATGATATGTATATGTATTTACCTCCAAGGACAAAGTCCTGGTATATATATATATATATGCATATATACACTCCAAGGACAAAGTCCTGGTATATAGATATATATATATCTCCAAGGACAAAGTCCTGGACTACAAAAAAACAACGTCCCTGTTCGGGACACTGCCTGTCCGGCAGGCTAGTTACTGTTTCGATGTATCTATATATAGACATAGAGATACATATGATATGTATATGTATTTACCTCCAAGGACAAAGTCCTGGTATATATATATATAACGCCAACTACATATGTTTCATATTTCTTCCATGACTCTTTCCCTACATGACCTTCTCAACATGACTTCTTCCGGGGTCGGCGGCAGGGGGCGGCAGCCCTTAATAAATAATGGCTTGGCCATACCTTGACTGCGGGGAAACATCAAAAGATGGGAACATCATGGGTCAAGGTCAAGATCACAAGATTCATCAACAGTGCCAAGCTGCTGGGTCTTGCACCATTAAGGTTGATACACTAAAAAAGGTATCATCCGACAAAAAAGGGTAAAGCATGGTAAAGCATCAGAGGGTATACTTCTAAGAGACCATCCGAGTACCATTTTTGGATGAAAGTTCCTCATCCGTCCGCTGCCTCTGAGCGACCTTTTCCTGCGCAAGCGCACAGCGGTTAGGAAAGTGAACCCAAAGGATAGACCTAAACGGACGCCATTGTCCAAAGAAAATGGAAGGACTGATTGGTTTGTGAGGCACCTTTCAACAAGCGAGATTCTTGAGCATGTACAGTAGTCAGTAGTTGTTCGTTTCTATAGGAAGATCCAATCCCTGAAGAGCTTGGTCGTGTGGTTGACAGGTGATTTGTTGATCGAACAGCAGTAGGTAGGGGTTCCTCCTAGTGCAAGACTCGGCATGCCCTCCGAGTAAAGTGCATTGCAAGGAAAAAAAATGCAGCCTCAAATCGATCCCACTGGAGTGTGTTCCACAAAACAATTCACATCTGATCTATTTTGAGACCTGCCCGTCCCACTCACTGCCTTTGCCACGGCTCATTTCTCGGTCGTTTCTAATCGCTTCACCTGGCACAAATGCGCTAAGGAGCGATGCAAGATAGGGTACTGGGGTACTGGTATATACCTAAGAACTGCCAGCTGGTGGTTGCAACCCATTGCAAAAACATCCGGCAACTAGGATTCCTCATTCCAAACGGGGTTGGAAAGGAGATGAATTGAAACGATCAATCTGATTTTTGGATATTGGATTCTTCTGAACTTCTCGTCAATGAACATGAATATCACCAACACTCCATGCAAATCCAACCCACTCTTAGGTGAATGTCATTAAATATGTTTGGACACAACCTGACAACATGAAAAATGTGCTTTCATGTCAATTCTACTGTGGGTGAACTTTTCGTGTGAAATAAGATTTCACATCACTCAAAACAAAGAGTGGAAAGGGAACAAACTTCAAATCCTCACAGGCGGCACCTTTGGGCACCCAGCGCACGTTTCCTGCCAGGCCAGCAAGTGTCAGCACTGTCTGTTGGTTTATATTCATAGTACCTAATAATTCCTGGGACAAAGCCAACGACAATGAATACGTTATGGAGAAACGTGAGTTTGTTGCCGACAAATCAAGGACATGTATCATGTGAATGTGACAAATGAAAAAGGTTGAAAAAAGGATATATAGATATATAGAAATATAGATATTTATATATAGATATATATATAGATCTATAGATATATATATATATATATTAATAGATATAGATATATATATATATATGTGGTATTATATGTTTGTTTCTCAAAGTGTCATCAATTCATCAACCCTTTCCGTGTCAGCGTTACGCTGCCTTTTGCTTTGCCCTTCGACTTTGAGGCGCCCTTCACTGGAGCGCGGCGCACCTCGGTGGGAGAGATCCCTCCAAAGACACGATACCCTCTGGTAAACTAACATAGCTATTGAAAATGGCCATAGAAATAGTGGATTTTCCCATTGAAAATGGTGATTTTCCATAGCTATGTTAAATTACCAGAGGGTAAAATAAAATCATTGGGGAAAATAACCAAAAGTAACTGCGTAAAAAAAATCATATCAAAGAATGATATAGAATGATAAAGAATGATATAGAATGTAGATATGGGTGAAAACTGAAGCTTGCAAAATTGGCTGGCCAGTCGTTCTCCATTCTATTCAGTTTTTGGTGCCAGCCGGGCATGAATCAGAACCATACATCCAAAAATAGAGATGGTTTACTACGGGAAAACACACCCCCTGCAATTCTTTTCCTGAAGACCCAAATCTTGACCCATACCATGCTGGGACTTCACCGGAACCCACAAGCAGGTGCACAAGAAAATAGTAACTGTGTATAAAGGCAAGAATAACTGGGATAGAGCTATCAGCGATGGTTTAGTTATGCTGTAAACCACAGCTGCCAGCCGAATGAGACCACTGCTAAGAAAAGTGGACTTCGAAAACTCAAATAGGGTGCTGTCAACAATGATCGGAAAATAGTTTGAGGTGGATGGGGTGCCAGATGGAAATGGAATGAATACCATATAATTCTATTATTATATATATATTATACATATATATAATCATATATTTATAACTATATGAAACTATATAAAACTAAATATTTATATGGAGATTTGATGATAGTGGGAAGCTTGCACCCTGGATCTCACCCAAGCACAGGCGGAATCTCAAACCCCGTCATAACCCGCCTTGGTCATGATAGGATTTCGACGGACTGGCGGAACGGTCAGTTGAACCCATGCAGGCGGTGGACCTCTACACCCACCACGCTCACTACTCCATCAACCCCAGCCAGAACTACAGGCAATGCTGCCCCGAAGTTTTTTTTACAATAAGCCATGCTGTTACTAAAGTCAAACAAAGTACGATATATGATATATATATATAATTATATATATATAACCGTTCGTGGTAGAGAAAGTACATTAAACAAATGAAACTCGAAAAAAAAAAATGCGCTTCATGGCACTTCCGAAGAATCCCCAGCTCCAGCTTCCGCGCCTAAGCCACGGCCGGCCGCCTTGCCGCCCTTGCCGCCCTTCCCGCGGCCCAGCACGGCCTTGCCGAAGGCGGCCACCTTGCCGCGGGGCGCCGAAGGCGTGGCCGCCTTGGTGTCGCCTGATGGGATGAGCAATCCGGAAGAGTGGAGAACAGTGGAGAAATGTGGAAAGATTCGGAGATTGGGAGACGGAAGTGGGGATACGAAACAAGATGTGGGATGTGATCTTTCAAACTTTGCGATCTCATCGACAAGACTGTTGATATGGGTTAAGCGGTGAAAAAAGCGCAAATATGATTGACAATAAATGGGGATGCACTTTTCAAAACTATCATTGACAAGAATGCGAACGATTGGGAACGTATGCCCCATGAGATTCTCTGAAGCTGGGTCGGTGCAGTGCAACGTCCCCTCCAGTGACTGGAGCCCCACCTCTGCTGCCGCCTTTGGGGTCTTTCCAATCCTTTTTGATCACTTGGTCCAGGGACATCTCCACCCTGGCCAAATCTGTTCCATGGATGTTCGAATCCCAAGAACGCAGCCATGAGATGCCATGAGGCTATGAGCTATCACCCTCCTTAGAAAGGGGATGGAGGCAGTGGGACTTCCAGCAAAAACTGCGATTACTGGTTAATGGTCTTCTTGGCCCTGCTTTTCAGATGTGGGGCAGCATAATGTGACATAATGGAGATCGGATGCATGTGTTTGTCCTTCAAAAAATGTCCAGAACTTGAAGAGAAATGTTGGATCCGAAATTAAATTGTTGGAAGATAACATGATAATTTCTGCACCTCAGTCTGCAAGTCCCCAACCAAAAAAAAAAAGATACATATTCCCAAGATTCCAGCGGCCCGTCCTGTCATTGGTCGCCATCCTGCGGATTCTTTGAGGCCCCCCAATGCGTCAGACACTGGGCCGTTTCACGACCCAAGGGTATCCTGGTTTTCACGTCCATGACTGACTGAGAAGTCAATATTTATGGGGATGTGAAATGCTAGTTACTATAGTTTTAGTTTTGCGGTGTATGATTTTGACCTATACCAGTTTTCGAATCTCCAGAAATGTCAAGATGTCAGCGTTCTCCGAAAATTGAAAATATTATCTAGTTTTTCCCCAGCTATGAACTCCAGTATCATCTCAAATGGCTTCCATGATACCCTTTCACCACATCAAGGTATCCTGCCCTCCAACACCAGCCTGCCCACTTCTGTGCTAAGCTTGGACAGGATGCGCTACTTGGGGGGACAGCAGTCCTTTCAAATCACAAACAATTTCCTTGAAGGTAATTTGCATGGAGGGAACTCACTTATTTTGTTCTTTGCAGAAAAAGATACCATTTTGAATTCTTTCGAAGGCCGCGTGCTCATAGTTCGAAAAAAATACATGTTGGACTTAGTGAGTCTATCTTGACGCTGCACAAAGCCTCAGCTTGAAACAACAAGCTGTTATGCTTGCTAACTGTCACTGCGCTTGAGGGAAACAGCACCGATGCACTCTCAATCCCCGCTGTCGACTAGCAGCTAATTACCCGTCCACACCTTGCCAAGCGGCAGGTGTGGATCCGAGTTGTGGACCCCCATATTGACCCACTGGCAGTCATTGTAGTGTACCATCGTGAACCAGCTGGTTGCCACTTTACGGGCCAAGAAGTTTGGCCTGTGCCTAAGTTTTTGCAGCCTAGAAAAGACCAGAACAAACCCAGGTGTCCAGATGAACTTCCGAGGGGGTTCAGAATGATCTGTGAATTGATTTTGTATGACGCTGTGGTGTTCGCCAAAGTACCAGGGTGTTGACTTATTTGCTACCAAATGCGTTTTGTGGTAGGTGCAATGAGAACATTCCTGTCATGTGATGTTCCTGCATTTCGGGCTCTTCAAGTCATCTCTTCCAATGTGAACCCCAATTTTGCCCTTACAATGGTCTGTCTTCAAACACAAAAGAGCCCTCCCAATAAGCTACGATGTCCGAAACCTCCTGTTGACATACTCCCTCATCCCCATGTACTGCATGAGGGCCTAGTATCACCGGAGCAACAAAGGCCAAGAAGCCCCCCTTGGCATCAACTTCTCAGATTCCATCTTTTTCTCTCAGCAGCGGTGATCAGTTTTGAAGCGATGAGATCGCGGTCTCTGAGAGCTGTGCTGCGTGCGCGGTTCTGTACCCTGCTCCGGTTGCACAACTCATCAAACCAAATGAACGATGGCAATGTGGAAGTGCTGAAACGAGGGCCACAGTCCAAATCGTCCGTTCCCACGAGTTTCCCAGGACCAAAAGAAAGGCATGAAATTGGAAGGTTTCATCACAGGCTCTTTTGTCAGCTGTTCGCTTCAAGATAAGTTCATTTAAATCTGTCAAATAGCTCTGTACGAAACAATATGGGGTATGGGTGTGGCAACCCAGAATGGAGCACGAATTAGCCCGCTAATTCCTAATCCTAATCATTTCCGGAAGTAAACTGTACAAGTTTGGGGTAGATAATGTTGAGCCATACCCGTGCAGAGAATTGCAACTTGATGTTCATCAATGTTCATCAACACAAACTTGCTCAATAGCCATCTCAGTTGTCGAACTAATGTTAAACCCAAACACGCAGCAAATTATATCCCTGATATTTCCCTGCCAATTTGTAAAGTGCAAGCGTTCAGCAAATCACAATTAAGTGTCCCTCTGTGCATTGAGTCCAGCAAGTCAACCTTCCATCCAGCAATTTAGCGGAATTCACCAATATGCTGGACTGGGAGAATTTGCTGGTAAAGCAATGCAACGTGCATTGTTGTGAAGATCGTTTCATTGCAACTGCGAGTGTATCAGTCGCAGAAAACTTGCCTGCCAGCATTGGGCTCAAGAAATCATGGCATCTGTGGCTTTCTGAATGTTTCTGGCAAATTTGGCACCAATCGCCACTAGCCTTGCCACGGCTCAGTTGGCGACATAGCCACCGCCCACCAAGCACTTCTTGAAGCCATCCTCCAGTTCCTATCCAGGGGAGCACCACATAGGGGTGCTTCGAGATACTTGTAAGAAATGGGAGGGAAACTGCTCATGGCATTCATACTGGGCCGTAAGTGAATCTGGGCCGTATAGGTAGTCGAGACCTGGTCGTCAACCACAACGGGGAGATATATCCCAGATGCAAATCATAAAAACTTCAGGAATCATCCCTCCAGGGGCAAACCTGACCCCCAAACCTCAGCAGTTTTACCAAGGTTGGCGAAATCGGTGATTGGGCAGTGCAGCCATTTTGGCGCACTGCGAAGATTGGATGGCAGAGGTGGATACAGGTCCAAGCGCACCTTTTTTCCTTCGGATGTCTAAATGATCTGCGGAATTCAGAAATCGGGTGCATCCTTGGTGCATCCATGAAAAAATTGGTGGTTTCCCTCTGATATGAGTTGTGCATAGTCATCATCATCCCAAGTTGGGGAATGGCAAAGACAAAATCTGGCTAATCTGAAGGGAGTGCTTGAACCTGTGGCCAAGGAAAAGGAGCCATCTAGGAATCTAGGACTGGAAGTAGCTGGACCACATCCTGCAGCTCTTTTGATCTCCTTCAGTAAGCTAGGTTCCAAGGTGAAATTGGAAGTTGGATTTGGGTTTTCATCCGCCACGTTCCAAGAAGTGGGTTTGAATGACTAAAAGCAGCTTCCAAAGTGAAAGGTCATTCCACATGGTAAATCCTGGAGCTCTGTCCACTCATTTGTTGCTTCTTCGGCAGCTCTTGCTGAGCGCAGGAGGGGTGCAGACCCCAAGCTTCTGACCCCAAGCTTCTGTTTCTAGGAGGACCAAAGTGTTGGGTCCACAAAACCATCCAAGACATGCTGCATGACTGAAGGGGGTGGCGAAGTGGACCCAAAACCTTGGTGCTGTTGGTCCTATCCAATAATCCCCCATGTTTGCCATGTTTGTTGCGACCTGTGGGCCCATGGCTTTGCTGGGCCGAGCACAGGTCACATCTCTGCTAATGCTGACAGAATCCGCTCGGCCGCCACTGCACCATCGCTGCGATTCACCAGGAAAGCAGCAACCACCTGACATGCTGCAGGGCCCCGAGTTAAAATGGGGGTGGGGGGATAGAGACTATCATAGGGATGTCAATTCACATGTCCAAACAATATGAGGGTTGTTTCTGCCAGAGATTGGAGATACTCCTCAAAATACACCCTGCTGTATCTGTTTCCGTATGGGTTTGGGATACACGGCCGCAACTTAAGTTCATCTCACCTGCTTCTTGCGGGGTCATACCATACGTTAGAAAATGGGGCTCAGGCTTTGACTATCAGGAGTGGCTACCAGGAACATCCCTGCAACACTTCAGAGTTCCTGTGGTAGCCCTTTTCTCGTGACAAATCATCTGAAAATTGCCAACTGGTGAAGTGTCAAATAGAGTTCTTGTCGAATCACCCAAGGCAGTGACATCAAGAGTAGTTTTTTTCAATTCTATACTGAAGTGCGCACAATCCCAAGAAGTTCGTCGCCAAGAAGCAGGGCGGGATTGGTTCGGCAGCAGCACTGCAAAGGAACCATTGCAGGCAGCATGTCCCAAGACTTCTCTGTCGTCGGGCCTCACAGCAAGTGCAGAGCCAAGTGCAGAGCTGGCAAATGTCTTTCCTTAAACCTTTTGGGTTTCAGTGACCTTTTCGCTCGACTGTGGGCGGATGTTTTATACCCTTTCCAGAAATTCCGTGTCGAAGTCATGAACCGTTTCATGTTCACGGAGTTTCTAGGTCACCCGGACAGGCGCAGTCGTTGGAGGCCCAAGCCCCACCTTAGGACTTGGCGCCAGTGGCAACAGTCAATCTGCCAGGCCATGTCAGGCTGGATGGGGTGCCAGCTGGATCAATTTTGGAGTTTGAGCCTTCACCATTCAACCAATTTAAAGCAATTCAAACCAATTTATGTGTATATATATATACCAATTTAAACCATCCAATTTTCAAGGGTGTTGATCGGGAAGGTAGAATTGACTTTTTCAAAGCAGAGGAATCACGACCAAGTCCACCATGTGGTGATTCTGGATATCCAATGATTGCTGGTGCCCTAACGAGCTCGGGAAATCACGGGGCCCGCACTCGGCGTTCTGAAACCTCTCCAGGTGGTGGGGCAAACGACAAGGCTCCGAGTCACCACCTTGCAGGATCCCGTGGACAGAAGGAGATTATCCCAGCCTCAAAACTCTTGGAGGTGGAGTAGAATGAGTAACTAATGAAATGTGGATTTATAAACCATCCAATTTCTTGAGTGAATAAATCTAAGTGTGTAATGTGTGTTATAAATATATATAAATATACCCATTATATAATTGTTGACATCCCTACTTGGAGGATCATCCTAAGATCATCGGAGCTAGTACCTGGTCAATGCCCTAGCGAAAAAGTCCGCCGTTCCACTGTTGCGGATTGTTGCAGCATGTATATCAACAGTAACGAAAGTAGCCATTCTTTCTTACCTCTCGCGATCCGTCGGCTGATCCAGGCATTTCCTGTCGTTTTCCCAAAACAAACCAGGCCTTTCGGTGGCTTTCGCGACCGCGCGGCTTCGTTCCACATCCGCTGCGATAAACAGGTTCCGTGCGCCGCGCGCAAGGCCTTGGCAGTGTCCTGCGCATGGCTGTGGCAAAGGGACCATTGTACGGTTGGATGTGAATGTAAGCAACAGCAACACGTAAGGAGGATAGAGGATTTAATCAACCCTCCCAACCAGCAAGTGCTCAGAAACCATACTGGTTGCAATTCGGTGATTTGGATGTTTTTTGGGGCAGGCCTCATGATGATTGATGGGTTGTAACCATGGCTACTACAGCCAACTGAGGTCGAACCGGATATGCTCCAGACTAGTTCCAGCACTGGAACATCCGTCGACAAGGATTAGAAAGCGAATCCAAGACCTGCAACACCTGTGCTCGGAAAGCCTTCCATAAAGATCCACCATAAAGTATATTCCGAATATTCCCTTTTATTATTCATAGGTAGGCCACAACTTCAAGGTTCATCTTGAAACTCGGCACTTCACGGGTTCAACATGGTTCAACATGGTTCAACATCTTCTCCTTGGCTGTGGCAAAGGCCTGTCTCCCTGGCAGCACGTGGGTCTTTGGGATCTCGCGGTTCAAGGCGGCCGGGTTGAACCAATGCTCCCGACCTGGGGCTAAACTGGGCTGGAGGGATGGATTCAAACCTGGGATGATCAGAGCTGCTCGATGGTGGGGATTCATGATTTTTTGAAACTGCATAGGAGCCAGCCAACTGTCGATCGTAACCGTAACGTCATTCCAATCAGAGATTCCAATCAGGGACACCGAAGGTGAGGCATTTTAGCCTGCAACAGCCCTGAATTTGGGCCTGTTCTGCTTTGCATCCCAGCTGCTGCCAGCAACTGGTAGAGTTTACACGTCGTATGCAGAACTGTTCCATGTGCATTCAGGAAATTGTTTGCTGCGCGTATCTAACCATCCTTATGTTAACATCATCCTATTGTTTAGCTTACAGATGAAACCTCCCATGGTCGCGCCACCATTCAATGGTTGTTCCTGGGTGTCCCAGACCGAAGAAACTCATCCACATGCCATGCTCTGCCTGGTTGGTGAGTTGGTCGCTATGGGATGGAAATAGAGGAAAATTGAGACTGGGTGGAGTGTACAACCCAATCATACCCAGATTATGCCTGGTTTCAACTGTACAGTACAGATGAACCTGCGTAAATGAATTTCTATACTTTGTATGCCTACACAGCCTATACATTTACAAATTTGTATATGATGTACTCTGAGGCTTTGCTGATATTGCCAACCACTCTCCAAGGTCAAAAGCAAATCCAAATGAATGTTTTCAGATTGTAACCACACTGCTGGGGAAGGAAGGACTAGAAATTATCAAGGGAAACAAAATACTTCTGGTCACCATCCTTGCTGTTTGTAAGTATGAATACTGCACTTCAACAAACGTCAGAATCAAAAAATCAATGGTTTCCTCGCCTTTTGTCCTGCCGTCGCGGTCTTGCTTTTGCCCCGGTTGGTGGCGTCGATGAAGTGCTCGAATCTTGGAGCAATCGAGGTTTTGCACAGCTACTTTGGGTTAAACACATAGTGATTGCTTGGCAGGATTTGGCAGTTAAAAACAGATATCCAAAAGTTGGATTTTTGAATCGGTCCGCAATTGTTTGGGGATATGTTTTCCGTTTTTTTTGTTGTTCTGTCCCTTTTCCTTGCTATTTGCAGCAGTTCGGAGCTGGAAGGTGCGATTTTAACGGTATTTGCAGCATTTTTGAGCTGGACCTCGCATTTTCCATGGAGTTCGCAACATTTTCGTGCTCGAACTGTTCATGGAACATGGTAGTTTGCAACTAGGGTTCATTTAGGGTTGGTTTTAGTGCTAGTTTAGTTTTTTTTAGGTTTTAAAATCTATTTAGGGTTAGTTTAGGATTCATTTAGGGTTGGTTTTACTTAGGTTTGGTTCATGATCTATTTAAGGTTGGTTTAGGATTAGGGTTGGTTGTAGTGTTTAGATTTGGTTAAAATATATTTAGGGTTGGTTTAGGATCCATTTAAAAGTGGTTTTGGGTTTATTTGGGTTTGGTTTTGGGTTTTTTGTAGGTTTGTTTTGGCTGACACGACATCTAACGACCCCAAGCGGCTGGCTATTTTTTGCAGAGTTGTCTTGTCACATGTCTTATTTGACATCTTGATTTCTCTGTGCTTGGTGTGTCTTGGGTGTAGGGGCGTTTGGGGTGGCTAATAACGTAACGTGTTGTCGTTTTTTCTTTTGGCAGATGCCTTCAACTATCTTAAACTGTCTTTTGACACACTCTCGATGCTACGCCTCAAATTTCTCTCTTGTAATCCGCCGACCCCTGCCTAGCCTTGGCCTAGGCGGGGCGGCGCCTGGGATCACCGTAGGTGTGCGACATTAACTGCTTGTGAGACTGAGAGCTTTCCCTGCCGAGCATCGCTGCAGCGTAGAATTTTCGCTGCCGAGCTTCGCTGCAGCTTCAGCCCGTTGCCAAGGGCTGCACTGCTGCAGGCTCCCGAGCGGCGACGCAGGCCCTGCAAACTGCTTCTACATAGGCTTTCGACACTGCTGCGTGGCACGTTTTTGGCCACGCCTTGAAAGCCTTAAAACCCTTAGACCTTCAAAACCCTTAAAAGCCCAAAGCCCTCCGCTGAAGCTTTCGAAGGCTCCTCAACCGAGGCCGTGGGCCATCCTCTGCAAGCACCGCCAAAACAAACCCAAGCGGCGACGTGGACCCTGCTGCTAAAACAAGCCTCGCCCTGGCCGCAGTACGCCGCCAAAACAAGCGTGAGCGGCGACGTAAGCCGTGCAAACTGCTTCTACTTTCGCTTTCGAAACTGTTGCGTGGCTGCCCTGGCCGCAGTTTGCTGCCAAAACCACCCCGAGCGGTGAGGTAGGCCCTGCAAAATGCTTCTATATAGGCTTTCGAAAATGCTGCGTGGCACCCTTTGGCCACGCCTTCAAAACCTTAAAAAACTTAAAACCTTTGAAACTTCCTGCAAACTTCTTCTATAGAGGCTTTCGAAACTGCTGCGCAGGCTCCCGAGCGGCGACGTAGGCCCTGCAAACTGCTTCTATACAGGCTTTCGAAACTGCTGCGTGGCACGTTTTAGCCACGCCTTGAAAGCCTTAAAAGCCTTAAGTCCTGCAAACTTCTTCTATAGAGGCTTTCGAAACTGCTGCGCAGGCTCCCGAGCAGCAACGTAGGCCCTGCAAACTGCTTCTATATTATAGGCTTTTGAAACTGCTGCGTGGCACGTTTTAGCCACGCCTTGAAAGCCTTAAATACTCTTAAAACCTTCAGAACCTCAAAACTGTAAAAACCTTAAAAGCCTCCGCTGCAGCTGTCGATTGGTCCCGAGCGGCGACGCAGGCCCTGCAAACTGCTTCTATATAGGCTTTCGAAACTGCTGCGTGGCACTTTCTAGCCACGCCTTGAAAGCTTTAAAACCCTTAAGACCTTTAAAACCCTCAAAGCCCTCAAAAGCTTGCGTCTCCATGCCCTTTTCGCTGGTTCCACGCTACCAACTGCTACCTTTGCTTCTACACGCCCCTACTTACCCGACTTCCTAA